TTTCCTCGTTGGCTCTGATCACACCTCCCGCGACCTTGTGAGGTCTGCCCACTTGGACACCCACAACTTTATCCACAGGCCAACTCTGTTAGTTTTGGCGAAGAGTTTATTGGGACACAGCTCTGTTACCCCGGCTGACACTGCCTTTATGATGCAGCAGCCAAGACCCCGTGGCTCTTTGTTACCTTCTCATTCTGAGACACAATATCTGACACTCATAGATTACAGAATTTTTAGTTTCTGTCCATAGTCAGCTGGCCGCAAGGCAGGTCTGCACGGCATTCCATGGCAGGGTAGCAGAAAGCAAAGAGACAACGCGGGGAGGAGGGAGGAGCTAATGCTCCAGGCCACGCCCCCAGCGACACCGCCCCCAACCAGGCCTCACCTCCTCACTCACAGTTAGCTGTAAGCTCATCCATAGCCAAGATAGTATCCGTCCCAGTGATGCAGTCCCCTCCCCCAGGTCCCACCTAGGAACGCACGAGGCTTTGGAGAGACACGCAACCATAACAAACTGCAAAGCATGCAATCTTCCAGTTGGCCCCTTAAAGGTAGTTTGCTCCCCAGGTCATTACAACAAATACTGTTCTGTTATAGAACCAGCAAATATTTAAATGAAACCCCTTTATAGGACACAATGGGGTATGTCCTGTTTTGCTGTTAGTAGAATGGTGCAATAAACATTCTTAACCATGTCTCCTTGAACAAGCCCTATTTTTCCATATTCCCCTAAAACTGGTAGAGTACTATTGGACAACATAATGGAAACCAATCTGTAGGCAGATTCACTTGTGTTTTCCGTGATGACTGTTGGTGCTTCACTACTACACTACACTGAATTTTGTTCAATGACCTTTAAAGGCAATCAGCCTCTTTTATCATGTATTGGTGGGGCTCTGCCAGTAAATATAATTGTTGTTGGTTTTTTTTTTTTTTGGACCCACTTAGGCCACCCTGAGGGCAGGGCTGGCACGGCATGTGGGGTTGAGCCAGTGTCCCCTGCACCTGCATAAGCTTACCTAAGCAGGTGCTTTAGACCATTGAGCCATCTCACTGACCCCATTAAGTGTAATATTTGATGTTTGGGTTTTAAATTTAGGTAGAGGGGCTGGCCGAATAGCTCAGTGGATTAAAGTGCCTGCAAGCAGGTTCAGGGTCAGGGTTCAATCCTGGGCTTGTTGTGCCGGCCCCGCCTCCAGGGTGGGCTGAGAAGGGCGATTGAGACTGGGTGTGGTGGTGCGCTCCTGTAGTCCATTTTGGGGCCAGGGAGATGGCTCAGTGGAATAAGCGCTTCTCTGGCAAGCGCAAGAGCCTGAGTTCAATTCCTGGTTCAACCCCAAAATAAATAAATAGGTAGATAAATAAATTTAGGTAGAATTTATTTCAGATTAGTTGGTTTTAGTGGGAGTACCTTTTAAACTTTTTCTCTCAAGTTGCCTAATGGGCTATTGTTTATTCTTTTTTAAAGTGAATTTAGGACAGGGTCTATAGGGTGTACAGGGTCTCACTATGTAGATCTGACTCCAAGCACTGGGTTACAGGTGTGCGCCACCATGCCTAGTCTCAATTGCCATCTCAGCGTGCCCTGGCGGCGGGGCCAGCATGGCACACTGGGCATCGAACCCCAGCCGCTGCACTCTGCCTAAGCAGGCACTTTTGTCCGATGAGCTATCTGGTCGGCCCAGTTTGTATTTTTTTTTTTATTTTATTGTATGTATTTGGTTGTTACAGGGTCTCACTACACAGCTCAGACTCGTGGTGGTCCTCCTGTTTTCAGCCTCCCCAGCACTGGGATTAGGGATTACAGGTGTGTGCCAATACACTCTGACTCTGGCTGGCTCAGATCTCCGGTGCCGGGATCGACCCATTTATATTTTTAAATGCTTTTAGGTCTAACTTGCCTAAGCATGAGCTTTAGTCTGCTGCTGAGCTACCTCGCTGGCCCCTATTTTTATTTTTTTGACACAGGGTCTCACCACATAGTCTGGGCTGTCCTTGAACTTGTGGCAGGCCTCCTGCCTCAGCCTCCCAAATCCTGGGATTACAGAAATGTGCCATCACATCCAGCCTCCACTTGTCTTATTTTTTAATAGTTTTACCAAATTATCTTTTTCTAGAAAATGATCCATTTCAGCCAGATGTGGTGGCTCATACTTGTTACTTCAGCACTTGGGAGACTGAGGTAGGAGGCTTGCCATAAGTTCAAAGCCAGCCTAGACTACAAAGTGAGTTTAAGGCCAGCCTGGATTATAGAGCAAGACTCTGTCTCAAAACAAATTATCCACTTCATCTACATTTTAAATTTATTGCTGGGGGGGGGGGCTTGCCAGTTAGCTCAATTGTTTTTTTTAAAATTTTATTTATTTGTGTGTGTGTGTATGTGTGTGTGTGTGTGGCCAGTTCAGCCCACCAGGGGGCGAGGTTGGCTGGCATGTGGTGCTGGGGGATTGAAACGCGGTCCCTGTGCTTTACTAAGCTTGTTCTAAGTATAAGTAGGTGCTTTAGACCGCTGAGCCATCTCACCAGCCCCAGCTCAGTTGTTTAAAGCGCATGCTTGGGCAAACAGGCGCAGGGCAGTGTGGTTCGATCCCACATCACATGCTGTACCAGACCTGTCCTTAAGACACCCTGAGCCAGCGCCCCCGCCAAAAAATCCTAAATTTATTGCCATAAAGCTTATTACCACTCATTTTGATCATTTTTCCTGCATGTGTAGGTACATCCCCCTTTTTTTTTTTTTTTTTTTGCAGAATTGGGGATTGAACTCAGGCCCTGGGGCTTGCCAGGCAAGCACTTATTCAACTGAGCCATCTCCCTGGCCCAGGCACATCCCTTTTAAGTAATGTTTACTGTACTAATTCTCAGTATTATTTTGTAATTTATACTAGTGTTTGTTTCGTTTCATAAATTTCTACTCTTACTATTTTTTCTTTGGGCTTATACTTTTTTTTAAAATTTTATTTATTTATGTGTGTGTGTGTGTGTGTGCGCCGCCAGTTCAGCCCACCAGGGGGCGAGGTTGGCTGGCATGTGGTGCTGGGGGATTGAACCGCGGTCCCTGTGCTTTGCTAAGCTTGTTCTAAGTAGGTGCTTTAGACCACTGAACCATCTCACCAGCCCTGGCTTATACTTTTTAAAACTACATCTTACCATGTAGTTCAGGCTAGCCTTGAATTATACAGCCCCGACTGGCCTCCAACTTGTGGCAATCCTCCTGCCTCAGCCTCCTGAGCTCTGTGCTTTAACAGGTGAAGGTAAAATACATTTTCTATCTCTGGTATTGCACTATTTATGTACTGTCCTTCTTACTCTTTTTCTCCTTTCTGCCTGCTACTATATCTTTAATACCATTTTCTGAAGTTGGCAGTGCGCACTTTTCATTTTCTTAGTGGCCCCGCTTATAAGTTCGAATACTCAAGCCACTGATCAGTGACTCCTCCTCCTCCCCCACAAAGCAAGTTCCTAGACATTTTAACTCTATTTTGCTCTCTGGCTTTTTCAGTCCTTCCATTCCATGCATGTTGCTTTATGTTCCACAAATTAATAATCTCTAATATAGAATCCTTATTTACATTTCATTACTTAATTTGCTCACCATTTTCACTTAATTTCTTTTGGGTTACTTACCCTTGTTACTTAAGCACATCCTTTAAAAATTGTTCAGGCTGGCCGTGGCAGTGTACAGGTGTGTCCCCAGCATCGCGGAGGCCGAGGCAGGACTGCTGCTTGCAGCCAGCCTGAACTACAAGTGAGACTCTGTCTCAAAATACATAAAAAATAAAAAGTTGCAGCATTTTTTAAGCAATTTATTTATTTAATATTTTTGGTAGTGGGAATCTACTGGGAATCCAAGTCAGGCCAGGCCCCAACCCCCGTTTTATTTTTCCCCCACTTAACTCTTCAAATCATTAACAGCTGAGTGGCAGTAATTTCTCATGGCTTAAAGCTAACATTACATTTTAGCCTGGCTTCAGATGCTGCTCAGAAGTCTATTAGTGTAAGTTTTTTCTAGTTATGCTATCCTTTTTGGTAGGATTTTCTGAGCCAGCGTCTCCTATATAGCCCAGACTGGCCTTGAACTTGCTGTAATCCCCCTGCTTCAGCTTCGCAAGGGTTGGGATTACGGGTCATGTGCTACCAGGCCCGTTTTTGGTGCTTATTCTACCGAGCCATCTCCCTGTCATTTTTTTTTTTTTTGGTCAGATTTAAAATCTTTTTTCTCTACAGAGTCCTCCAAATGCAGGACAAAATATGTGGCTGCTGATTCCCTGCCCTGGATCTTATGTAAGTCTCTTGTCTTTACAAATCAGCTTTGGGTGTCCTTTGGAACTGCCCTTCACACTGTCTCTTGTACACTGCCCACCACCCAAGGGTCTCCGCTTAACTGCCTTTTTTGCGTGCGTGCAGGGTCTCACTACGGAGGTCGGACTTGTAGTGACAGTGCTGGGATTAGATTTCAACGCCAGCTCAGCGCGCCCAGGGCCGGCCGGCGCGGCGCGCGGTGCGAGGGATCGAGCTCGCGCCCCTGCTCTTGCCTAAGCAAGCGCTTAGTCCGCAGAGCTATACCGCCGGCCCTAACTGCTTTTGGTTTATCCTTTGAGTGATTTTTTTCCATCTGTGTCTAACCGCTTTTTTACCTCACCTCCTGCGACCTGCACTACTCCGTCTCTGTTCTAGAATTTTTCAAAGCCTGGGCTCCTTTCTTGCCAAAGCCTGAAGCTGGCGCCGCAGGTACTCTAAGAGCGCCGACGGCGCTGCCTGCGGAACCGCGCGGGCCGGCAGGCCGGTCGATCGCTTGTGGGGCTCAACCACAGCACAGACCTAGGCAGAGGCCAGGGCGCAGCCGTGACGTCACAGGAGTGTGACGCGCCCCGAAGCCCCGCCCCATGAGCCACACGCCGGGAATCCAGGCTCTGCGCCGTGACGTCACGTGCCCAGGCGGGCGGGTTTTGCGTCGGCCCAATGGGAGCGGCGCGCAGGCCTCCCCTTTAAGGAATGTTGTGACCTGACGTCACCCGGGCGAGTTACCTCCCGCCGCCGCCGCCGCCGCCGGCTTCAGCGCCAGCCCCGCAGCCCTTGAACGCGAGCCCCGGAGCCCCCGGATCCCCGACCTACAGCCGTATTCCCGAGCCGCACTCCCCAAAGCCTCGGCAGCGCGCCCCGCCGGGCCCGCGCGATGCCCTCAGACCGGCCTTTCAAGCAGCGGCGGAGCTTCGGTGAGGCCCTAAGAGCGACCTGCGATAGGAACGGGGTCCGACCGACCCCGACTGGCGCAGTGACGTCAGCCCTGTGACATCAGGCGCAGTCGCCCCCGGCTCCTAGGCCCCTTGGCCTTAGCGGGGCCGCCGGCTTCTCCACCGTGTCCCTGCCGGGGGCTGTGGGCCGGTGGCCCCGGGGGCGGGCGCTGGGCGGGCGGGGCGGGGCTGGCCCGGAGCCGCCCTCCGGGACTGTGGGGCGGAGCCGCGGGAAGGCCTGGCCTGTGGGCTCACGCAGACGCCGTCCACAGCCGACCGCTGTAAGGAGGTGCAGCAGATCCGTGACCAGCACCCCAGCAAGATCCCGGTGAGTCCTGACCCCGACCCCGACTCCGGCCCCGGCCCCAGCCCGCCCCCACCCAGGCCGCGCCTGTGCTCACATCTCCCGCCTGCCCCACTCGCAGGTGATCATAGAGCGCTACAAGGGGGAGAAGCAGCTCCCCGTCCTGGACAAGACCAAGTTCCTGGTCCCCGACCATGTCAACATGAGCGAGTTGGTCAAGATCATTCGGTGCGTGAGCAGCAGCCGGAGGGGCTGGGTGGGGCAAGGCCATGGTCTCAGCAGAGAAGGGATGTGGTCGGGGGCATGGGAACTGGTGCTGGAGCCGTTTTTGGAAGCCGGCAAAAGTCAGAGTAGAGGCTGAAATCAGTTTCGGCGCAGAGGCGATGGTCACTAGGAGCTGGGATGAATGGGTGCAGGGTGGGCCGGGAGGGTCGTGCCCCTCAGCTGACTCTCCTGCCCCTCAGCCGCCGCCTGCAGCTGAACCCCACGCAGGCCTTTTTCCTGCTGGTGAACCAGCACAGCATGGTGAGCGTGTCCACGCCCATCGCAGACATCTATGAACAGGAAAAAGATGAGGACGGCTTCCTGTACATGGTCTACGCCTCCCAGGAGACCTTCGGCTTCTGAGCCAGCAGTAGGGGGGATTGGTCTGGGAGTGGGGGTCCGGGTTGGGCTCTGCCCAGGGAGCTCCTGGCTCCTGAACTGAGCTGCCTCGCCCCTGGTGGGCTGGGCAGGGATGTGGCCCCCAGTTAGCTGGCACCAACCAGCCTACTCTGCCTCTGGGAGGGTGCTGGAAGTTATGTTAAGGTTGCCCCTTTGGGTGCTGGCTGGGTTGGGGGAGGGTGGGGAGTAGCCCCCGGCACCCCTGCTGTGTGGTTTGTCTTTTTTAGGCCCTTGCCTGTCTGCCTACCTGCCCCTCACCCACCTGAGGTTCTGCCCCTGCCTGGACCTGCCTACCCCTGAAAGACTGGCCCCTGGCTCCCCCATATCCATGTGGGGCTCCCCCCATCACCACGTGGTATACGGATCTGTGGTCATTGTCCCTCTGCAGAATAAAGATTGCTCAGGCCTGCCTGGCCCTCCGCCTCCAGCTGTTTGCTTGGCCTAGGGAGTGCTGTGGGGGACTATCTGTATACACCAGGCTCGGCCGCAGCACAGGCCGTGCTGGTGGCCTTGGGACTCCCTGTGAACATGCACACTTCTGTGTATACGCTGGCCACACTGCAGGCCAGGTCGGATGTGGTCTCAGAGTAGCTGTTTCATAACAAAAACATTTATTTAGTAACAACAACTTGTTAAGTCCGGCTGATCTGCTGCTTACCCCCTTTCCTGCCTGGGAGAGAGTTCCTTGGTGCACAGAGCCACAAAGGAGGCGCCAGGTGATATGTTCCCACCTGTTCCCCACACCTGTTCCCTTGCTGTCAGCCATGGGTCCCTACTGGTGCCAGAGATTTGTGACTGTAGGCTCCAACCTCTTCTTCCCAAGGCCTTGCCTGCTGGCAACACTGGATAGGGGGCCTGGCCAGCTTCTGGCCCTTGCCCACTTGAGGTCCAAGCAGCCCTGTGTCCAGCCAGGCCTACTTGAGCACAAGCATGGCCTCTGTACCGTCTTTGGCAGTCAAGTAGAGACCGTGTGTGAGGTAGTACTCCCGTCGCAGGAAGGCGTAGAAGTAGTCAGAGATGAGCAGGATCTGGAGGTGGGGAGAGAAAGCATGTGAAGGCCCCTCCAGGGTAAGACAGGGGTTAAGAGATGGGAGCCCTAATCTAGTGTCTTCCATCAGACGCCCAGCCTATCCAGGACCAAGAACAATGCTCTGCCCAGGGACACGCCTTCCCAGGGCAAACACCAACCCTGAAAGACCTTGCTGGCCCTTGGCAATTACCCATGCTCCACCTCCACCTCTTACCCTTCTACCCAGCCCCTACCTCCAGACTGGTGGGGTGTGAGCTCTGTGCTGTGTCCTCACCTCTCAGTGTTGGCACATATTTACACAGCCAGGCCCTTACCAGGTGCCCTATTTACCCTGGTCAAACTGGCTTCTGCCCAGTACCTGTGCCCCACCTTCCATCCAGAAGCCCAAGCCATAGACCCACCTGAGTCAGGCCCATCAGCTGTACCTCTGGACTTCCAAGCCCACCTTCCATCCCCACAGTCCCTACTCTGGAAAAGCCACTGTCATCTAAATATCAGCAAAGCCTTGTCTTGGACTCCCTGATATCAAACCTGCTTTTCCACTGTGTTCCCTGGCAGCAAGGGAGCTTTGCTCAACACAAATCTGATCACAGTGCTCCTTGGTGAAGGTCAAGCTCACAGGGCTCTGAGGCCTTGTTTTTCTTTTTTCTGTCTCTGTCTCTGTCTCTGTCTCTGTCTCTGTCTCTGTCCCTCCCTCCCTCCCTCCCTCCCTCCCTCCATGTGCTGGGATCATAGGCATGCACCACCATGCCCAGCTTTGAGGCCTTGTGCTCAGTCCCTGCCTACAGTCGTGCACCACCCTCTCTGGGCCATCTCACTCCCCTGCAGGTGGCTGTGGTTTCCTCTCCCTGGAACGTGCTCTCCTCCATCTGGTCAACAGCTGCTTGCCCTTCAGGTTTCAGGAAGGATCACCTCCTACCCCAGATTAGGTCCTGGACCTGTTAACCTCTGGGGATTTTTCTGGCACAAACTCATCGAGTATAATTTTATATTCTGCGTGACTGCCTGATGATGGTCCTGCTTCCTGGACAGGAAGCTCCATCAGGATGGGCTCTGAGTGGTTGTGCTACTGCAACCTCTCTACCCAATTCAGCCTAACTTCTAGGCCACAGAATGAAAAGGAACGGCAGGGTGTGGCAGCACACCCTTGTGATCCCAGCACTCAGAAGGCTGAGGCAGGAGGATCACTGAGTTCAAGGCCAGCCTGGGCTACACTTTGTCTCAAAAGGAGAAAGCTTAACTTACTGTCATCCTCATGGAGGTCCAGAGAAGGATCAAGGATTTGCCAGGCTCCCTGCACATTAGACCCCAAAGGGTTACATACCCATTTGGCCCAAGCTGCTCAAGACCTTGGTGCATGAAGCAGGAAGGCCAGGGCCCAACCCCATGCCAGGCTGAAGGAAAAGGCACTCGCCACTGCAGGCACAGTTCTGAGGCAGTTGGCTTCTCTTGGGAGACACTTGGCCAGGGGCTTGGGACAAATGTGAGGCCGAGCTGAGGCTGGAGTCCAGGCCTCCAGAACCTTTTCCCAAGGCTGGAGCAGCTAAGCAGCATTCAGAGGGGCTAATGACACTGATGGTCTCAGGTTACCACCTGCCGTTCTGTCACCACAGAACCTCTCTGATGATTTCATAGTCCTCCTTAGTGAATCAGAAACACTTGGCCTAACCTGACTATCAGCTGGACTAGTGGTCATGGACCCTGGACAGCAATGTGCCTGGGGCCCGGGACTCTGGGGATCAGCCGACCAGATAGTTCTGAGAGGGTGCTTAAGGGCAGGGGCAGGAACAGTCACACAAAGGCTGACCTTATACCCTGGGCACCCTTCTCAGCCAGGCCCCAAGATGCCCCATATGGGAAAGACGAGCCTGATCCCTGAGCTAGGTTACGTGAGGGGTGGGTGCAAAGTCACAACGCATAACCAAACAAAATGAGACAACTCAGCGTCACAGGACAATCTGCTGGCTAAAGGAAATAGAACTATTAGATTATCAGGTGGAATTGTATGAAATTGCTATTTTTGCAGGTTAAAAATGTTTGAAGGGCCGGCCAAATAGCTCAGCAGATTAAAGCACCTGCAAGCAGGCGCAGGGGCCAGGGGTCCCCTTGCCAGCCCCACCTCCACCCCCCCCCCCCCCCGGGCACACCAAGACAGCAATTGACACTGGGCATGGTGGTACGTGCCTGTAAGCCCAGCTCTTGGGGGGCTGTAAACAGGTGGATCATTACCGTCTGACCTAGTAGTAAGACCCTGAACACCCTGTAGACCCTTCCCCAAAATTTGAATATTGCAATTACATATGCTCCAAGCTAACAGAAAGAAAATGAAGTAGGGGCTGGGTGTGGTGGCACACACCTGTAATTTCAGCGCGCAGGAGGCTCAGATAGGAGCATTACTGCAAGTTCAAGGCCAGTCTGAACTACTTAGTAACCTTGTCTAAAAAGTGTGGGGAGGGCTGGGGAGATAGCTCAGCAGCATAAGCGCCTGCCTGGCAAGTGCGGGTCCTGAGTTTGATCCTCTGTGCCACAAAGAAAGAAAAAAGAAAATTATAGACTGGGCATGGTGGCATGCTTCTGTAATCCCAGCGGCTTGCAGCCTGAAAACAGGAGAATCACTACGAGTCTGATCTACATAGTGAGACCCTGTAAACTCTGTACTAAAAAAAAAAAAAAAATTTTTAAAGTGGGGTAAGAAATACAAATAACAGAATAAGAATATTAGATCTTACTAAGATCTTAGCTATTCTTTTTCCTATAAGCTTTATGCTTTAAGTTGTACATGTATTACCTTGTTAAAAATGAAATGTAAAACAACTAATAAATGAATCGGGGCTGGTGAGATGGCTCAGTGGTCTAAAGCACCTACTTGGAACAAGCTTAGTAAACCACAGGGACCACGGTTCAAGCCCCCAGCACCACATGCCAGCCCGCCCCGCCCCCTGGTGGGCTGAGCTGGCCACACACACACACACATAATAAATAAATAAATGTAAAAATAAATAAATAAATAAATAAATGAATCAACACAGAAATATGAAAAATTTCCTTCAGAATTCCAACACAAACTAAACTAGATAAATCTTTCCCTCTTTTTTTTTTAATTTTTTATTTATTTGTGTGTGTGTGTCTGTGTGTGTGTGTGGCCAGCTCAGCCCACCAGGGGGCGGGGCTGGCTGGCATGTGGTGCTGGGGGATTGAACCGCGGTCCCTGAGCTCTGCCAAGCTTGTTCCAAGTAGGTGCTTTAGACCACTGAGCCATCTCACCAGCCCCTCTTTCCCTCTTTAAAAAAAAAAAAAAAAAAAAAAATCCAAACTATTGTGGGGCCTTCCTCTTCAGGGGGAAGGCGCTCAGTTCTTGCCCACTCCTCTGCGCCAGGGTGGATCAGACTTGTGGATGCACTTCCTGCTTGGAAGCAGGGAAAAAAGAAGAATTCTCTGGCCAACATCTTAACCAAGTGCTGAGGGTAAATGGCACACTGCCAGCAGCATCTAGATGGGATGTGATGAAAGGGCGTCTTTCCTGGAGATGTTTCCTAAAAGCCCAAACCCCAGTGCACACATCACACATGGCCTGGAAGGTGTTCAGTGTGACCCTGCCAGAGAACCTCATGACTGTCACAGTCATAAGACAAGGAAATTTGGAGGAGCAGAGCAGAGGACCCTGGGATAGTGGCAACGCACATGTGCTTAGCAGCCCCTAAGGTGGGTCCCAGAAAAGAGGAAGGCATGACTGGAAAACATGAAACCCCACTGGTCTTCAGCTAACAGTGCTGTTCCAGAGTAGTTTCTTAAGTTTCACACACATACTGTGTAAAGTAAGGTGTTAACACAGGCCAAGCACTGCAATGCAGCCTGCAATCCCAGCAGGCTGGAAGATCACAAGTTTCAGCCCAGCCTAGGCGATGTACTGATTTTGCAAGAAGACCCTGTCTCAAAAAACAGAATTTTTTTTTTTTTTAAAGAGCTGAGGAGCTGGGCGTGGTGGCACACTCCTGTAATCCTGCCTCCAGCTCTGGCCCCAGAACCACATAGGACCGTCACTCTGGAGGCATGTGCTGGTCTGTGCCCTCTTGGCACTGCCTTCCAGGGACAGCTTGGTGGGACCGAGTCTCCCTCTGGGCTGTGATGGAGCTCATGGAGCAGTGGGTTAAAGGGTAGCAGGGACAGAGAGGGTGAGACTAGAAGGGGAGTGACATCCCGAACATGCTCCACTACAGGAAATGAAAGTCAGATGTTGGGCTGGCCAAATAGTGGATTAAAGTGCCTGCAAGCAGGCACAAGGGCCGGGGGTTTGATCCCTGGGCCTGCAGTGCCAGTCCTATCCCCGGGGCATGCTGAGATGGTGATTGAGACTGGGTGTGGTGGCGTACACCTATAATCCCAGCTCTTGGGAAGTTGTAAACAGGCGGATCACTACTATCTGATCTAGTAGTGAGACCCTGAACAATCTGTAGATCCTTTCCTAAAATAAAAAAAAAAAAAAAAAAAAAAAAAAGATGCCACATTGACACATCTGTACTAGCTTGTTGGCTCTAGACCAGTCATATAATTCCTTAGCACTACTTTATTTCTTTACAAATATTAGGTACCTGCTAAGCACCAAGCACTCTGCTGGGAATAAATGAGATGCCCAACTTCTGAGGTGTCCACTGTGTGTGTGTGTGTGGGGGGGTGGCTAAAGAAAATCAGGCAGGACAGGGCAGTGTGACAGGGTCAGCTCTGGGGTTCTGAAGGGAACTTGGAAAAGATACTTCCTGGATATATGGGAGCAAGCGGGTTCTAGATGTCAAACCTGGGGGAGGAGAGAAAAGGAGAAAGAAATGGAGGGAGGGAGAGAAAAAGGGACGGATGCTATGGACACGGAGGCCAACTGAGAGGCAATTCCAGATAGGAGATTGATTTCCTTTGGGTACAGCGAAAACTGAGTTCTGGGTAAGGCTCAGTGTGCTAAAGGGTTGGTGTCCAGGTGGCCCCAGAGGCAGAAGGCGGAACAGCCAA